AAAAAAAAAAAAAAAAAAAAAGAACTGAAACCTTGTCTGGTTTATACTAAGAATTCGAATGTTGGCTATGGGTTACCTTTTCTGCCAAGAAGGAGTAAAAAGGGCAATGAAAGTATTAACATTGACCCATTTAGCAGTGGGTATGGGTGGGAAGAGAGTCAGTCATCATCCCAGCAACTTTGAAAAGGAGCCTTTTCAGATCTATATGCATTTAATCATTTCTTTATGCAGACCACGATGGGGAACAGTAGAATTGGGCTCTAGATCAGGCTGTATTCATGCGGGTAGAAACTGGAAACATTTGAGAAGCTGGAAATATTTGCAATTCATTAAATTGCTTTTCTTTGAAGTAAATCATCCCTGTGGCAGTAGTAAGCAACCTAAATTCATTAATCTCAGAGCAGATGGAACTAGACTACATAATTGTTTAGTCAAACTGGTTCTCAAAAAACAAGCAAGGTGGAAAAAAAAAAGTTAAAAAAATCTCCTGCCAGCCTTTCCATTTCCTACTTAATGGAAACACTTAAAGCAGTAGTCTTCTGAGGCAGGAGGATTGCTTGAGCCCAGGGATCAAGTCCAGTTTGGGCAACCTAGCCAGACCCAATCTGAAACAAACAAGCAAACGAAACAGTAGCCTGCTCCATGCTTTCTTCGAGCAAATTAGAGAGGTTAAGAGATTGCAGATCTTTGTCTTGAGGAATGGGAAGATACTAAAACAGTATTGATAACAGTTCCCGAGCAGGCACTCCAAGCCAGGAGTGTGCCTCACTGAATTCCCCCAATAACTACTGTCACCTGAACTTTACAAGTGAAGAAATGGAATCTTAGCCAGCAAAAGAAATTTTCCAAAATTAAACAACTAGTGGGTATTAGAGGTGGGATTTCAACCCAAGCAACCTGATTCCAGAGCTCATTCACTCATTCGGGTATAATCAATATTCAGTGAACAGCTGTCATGTGCCCAGCACTGACCCAGGCCCTGGGTAAGGGCTGGGGGTGCTTGGTAGAGAATGGACTGTAGGTGAAGAGCCTATGTTCTTAACTGCTACACATGTAGAATCCCACTGAGACGAGTTTGAATATTTACATTCAGTTACTTACATAACTGAGATAAATCTATAATTATACTATCATTATTTCTTTTTTTTTTCCCTTTTTTGGGACACAGTCTCGCTCTGTCACCAGGCTGGAGTGCAGTGGCACCATTTCAGCTCACTGCAACCTCCGCCTCCCGGGTTCAAGTGATTATTCTGCCTCAGCCTCCTGAATAGCTGCGACTATAGGCACATGCCACCATGCCCCGCTGAGTAGAGACAGGGTTTCACCATGTTAGCCAGGATGGTCTCGATCTCTTGACCTCGTGATCCGCCCACCTCGGGCTCCGAAAGTGCTGGGATTACAGGCGTGAGCCACCGCACCCGGCCGCGAAGAATCTTTCTTAAAGCCCTGTTGCTGAAGGTGGTGGGAACAATCGACTAAAAGACACCAATTGGAAACTGCTGGCTAGTAACCTATTTTATAATGTATTTTTCTTTTTATTTATTTATTTGTTTTTTGAGACAAGGTTTTGCTCTGTTACCGAGGCTGGAGCGCAGTGGTGCAATCACAGCTCGCTGCAGCCTTGACCTCACCAGCTCAAGCGATCCTCCCACCTCAGCTTCCTAAATAGCTGGGACTACAGGCATGTGCCATGACACCTGGCTGATTTTTAAAAAAATGTTTGTAGAGGTTGGGGGGGCGGTCTCCCTGTGTTGCCCAGACTGGTCTCGAAGTTCTGGGTTCAAGCCCTCCTCCCACCTCAGCCTCCCAAAGTGCTGGGATTACAGGCGTTAGCCACGACACTTGGCCAGTAATGTACCTTTCTGTGCTAACTCAATGTTCCACTGATAAAACTGGCTGCACAATCGGCTCTAAGACCATGTGACACTTGGGCTTCAGCTGCCACTGTGCTTCCACACTTGTGGCACCCCAGCTCCCCTGGCTCTGACCCCGACCACGTGTAGCCTGCTACTGACATCTACTCCTCAGACACACATGGAAAGTGTTTGGGCCTGCCCCTGCTCAAAAGAAGCCTTCCCCTGGTAGAAGGGCAACAGCTGTGATAAGGAGACAACACTGAGCAGACGATGAAAACCACAACCAGACTACTAAAGTCTGGCACCATCAGAGGCCAGGTGGCTGAAGATTCCAGGATGGAGGCGAGGTCCTGATGGAATGCTGAGATGCTATGTGGAGGTTCACCAGGATGGAGGGCAATTCATGACTGATTCGGAAAGCTTTCCTTTGGAATCGGAATTGTCAGCAAACTCTCCAGTTAGTGTTCAGGGACTGTGCAAACCTGTTTTTACAATTTTTCAAGTAATCTCACATAAAGTTCACTGTCACAGCAAATATTTTCTTTTGAATGCTGACTACAATGTTTTCCTCTACCTTTCAAATTTAGTTTTTACCAAGGCTACTGCGTGGACAGAGAACAGAAACACAGAAACACTTTTACACAGCTGTTTTGTCTGTCTGTCTATCTATCTATCGACAGGGTCTTGCTCTGTCACCCAGACTGGAGTGCAGTGATGTGATTTTACTCACTGTAACTGCAAATCCATGAACTCAAGCAATCCTCCTGCCTCAGCCTCCCAAAAGTGCTGAGATTACAGGCGTGAGGCACTGCACCCAGCCTTTGTATCTAATCCTTTCTATTCTTCCTATCTTCCTGTTTGTTGGCCTGAGATACATATCTTTTTAATTTTTTAATTTTTTTTTTTTTAGATGGACTCTCTGTCATCTAGGCTGGAGTGCAGTGGCACCATCTTAGCTCACTGCAACCTCCACCTCCTGGGTTCAAGTGATTCTCTTGTCTCAGCCTCCCGAGTAGCTGGGATTGCAGGCATGTGCCACCACGTCTGGCTAATTTTTGTATTTTTAGTAGAGATGGGGTTTCACCATGTTGCCCAGGCTGGTCTCAGACTCCTGACCTCAGGTAATCCCTCTGCCTTAGCCTCCTGAAGTGCTGGGATTACAGGTGTGAGTCATCACGCCTGGCCTATTTAAACATTTTAAGTTTTATTTTACTGTGGTTTTTGTTTTGTTTTGTTTTTTAGCGACAGGATCTTACTCACCAGGCAGGTGTGCAGTGGTGTGATCATAGCTCGCTGCAGCCTTGAACTCCCAGGCTCAAGCGATTGATCCTCCTACCTCAGCCTCCTGAGTAGCGGGGATTTTATTTTTTTAAATTGACAAATAATAATTGCACATATTCATGGAGTATATAGTGATGTTTTAATACGTATAATGTATAGGAATCAAAGCAAGTCAATTAGTATATTGGCGTCCCTTGGATTTCATAGGAAAATAAATATATTTTAAAGACAAAAGAAAATGAAAAGTAGGACAAACATCATAACAATTCCAGCTTTTATTTTTTGGAAAGGAATGAAACAGTGGACTAATCCAAGTATTTACACAGACAAAGGGGCTGAACGCAGCCTGTAGACTACCAGCTGGCAGCCAGCAAAATAAACCCCAGCTCTCTTGTATTCCCATTGGGAACACAGGGACTGCAGGTGTCCAATGTGTGTCTATGTAACCCACACTTGAAATAAAATATAGCAAAACATAAGGATGCCTAGGCAGTTCAGGTGTTGGAAAGTGGAGCTGGGGTCTATGGATCTGACATGCAGCTGGGTGGGAAAGGAAAGGACATCTGAATTTACCTGACAGTCGGGCAGTCTTGCCTCCCGGCTAGTTGTGAGCACTGTGGCGGTACGGAGGCAGCAGGCTGCTGACAATCTACAAGAAACTGATAAATTAGACATGTATACAAAGAGATGACAGAGCAAGGTGTTAGTAACAGTGACTAAAGCAGCTGCCTGAGAGATTTAGTGAGGAATGTGCATTCACACAGAAACATCCTGATTCAGCTTTTTTTTTTTTTTCCTTGAATGATGCCAATAGAAAAGACAGGTTTTTTTTTTTTTTCTTAAATACAGTACTAAAAAATTAGTGACACAGCATTAGTAGCGAGATTTCTCAAGTACATTAGGACATATGTGGTCATTTATCTTTGGTATTTTGTTATATCTAAAAATAAAGGGTCTATTAATATAACGAAAGATCTTCCAGTTCTAAACTTGAATGTGGTGGTGGTTAATTGCTTAGCACTTAGATCTGTTACTCCAAAATGGAACGTATTCAGATAACTGACTTTACTGTCAGGACACATGGACATATTGTCAGTCCCATAGGTAACTTGAGAAAAGTGTGCAATATAATCTTTTCTATAATTAGTAGAAACTTAATTGAACAAGGAAATCATCTTTACAGTTTTCTGAAAATTGATTTTATATATTGAAAGTAGAATTGTTGGCAGAAATCTTAGAATGTCTATTACATAGTAAATTGTTAGTGACTTGGACTAGAGCACTAACCTGAATAAGAACTCCACTTTATTTTGTTTTTATCATTTTAAAGTCACACAATATAACACACTAGGTTAACAAAGTGCTAGCTAGTAAAAATCAAGCTTTAGCTGGGTTAATCATCTACTCCAAGAAAGCAGTGCCTGGTGTTCTAGAAAAAATCAAAGAGCAGTCTGTTTACTGGTACTAGGTGACTGTATTAGAATCATGCAAGAAGCTGGTTAGAAATGCATATACATCATATTTCTTTTGCAAACAAGATTAGAATTAAACTTAAAAATTCTTCTTAAATAATTGAAGCATTTCCTCTTGCCCACTGCTTAGACTATGTATTTGCTTAGCAAATCCCTTTCCTTATATGTGTGTGTTTGTTTATTTGAGACAGAGTTTTGCTCTTGTTGCCCAGGCTGGAGTGCAATGGCTTAATCTTAGCTCACTGCAACCTCCGCCTCCTGGGTTCAGGCGATTCTCCTGCCTCAGCCTCCACAGGAGCAGGGATTACAGGCATGTGCCACCACGCCTGGCTAATTTTATATTTTTAGTAGAGATGGGGTTTCACCATATTGGTCAGGCTGCTCTCGAACTCCTGACCTCAGGTAATCCACCTGCCTCGGCCTCCCAAAGTGCCGGGATTACAGGCGTGAGCCCCTGCGCCCAGCCTCCTTATATGTTATGTAAATAATATTTAATCCACATTATCACAAATTCTGGATTTACAGCCTTAACGAGGCTCTACTGATTTTTACATTTAAAGTCTTCTATTTAAATATCACCTGTTTTAAAGCTAATATATTCTATTATAAAAAAGCCTGCCTATATAGTTATATAATTCCAGAATTTAAAATTCAAAAAAACTGCTGATGCTTTTCCAGAAATCCACTAAAACTGTTTGTGATGCAAAGCAGAATACAATATAAGGCAGGCTTGATTTTTGTTCACTCAAGAAGACATTACTGAAGGGACCCTTTTATATGGTGGGCTTTGTTGCCATTTACTAATTAGCACATCTTAACAGGAACAAGGAGATCTGATTTTTGTTTAGTAACTGGTGTTCAGATGATCATATGCAGTAAAAGTCTTTCAAATGTAACAAATCTGTTTTCTCAGATTGAGGAAATTCCTTTTTTAACTCCATTATCCCATTTTGCAGCATTGATTAGCTCCAGATTCCCTTTTGTAGAAACTCAGAGTCTTAAGGAATGCATTCTTTTGTCTTTTTAAAAATCTTTGCTCCTTTTGTCTTTTCCAACAGCTTTCCTGCCTATCTGAGTGGTAATTTAGGAATGTCTTAGACTAATTTGACAACTATTTTGATAAGGCCTCCAGACAGGCAGTTTTTAAGTTAACCAGGTGTGCGCTGCCCTCTGATGGTGTATTTGGGTAAATGCAAGGGATGTAAAAACCACTCTGTGGATTCCTTATGTCTTACATTGCTAGGGAAGTATAATGAAACTCTTCCAAAGCAGAGTAGTGGCCTCTGTGGAATAGCGATCCTTAGAATTAGAGTAACTAGAGTATTCAAATGGCTTACATCTTTTACAAATATCTCATATTTGACTATTTTTGCCAATACAGTCACAGATTATTCATTCAAAATATAATTTATGATAAAATTCAGAAAGCAGGTGATCAGAACCACAGTGTACTCCCTTAATGAAATGCTAGAGAGGTGGTAGACATTCTTCATATTTGTAGTGAATATTACTTTTTCCTTCGTTAGATAACATCATCTCTGGCTAATATTTATTTTTTTATTTTATTTTAGTTTTGAGACAAGAGTTTCGCTCTTGTTGCCCAGGCTGGAGTGCAATAGTGCAATCTCGGCTCACTGCAATCTCCACCTCCTGGGTTCATGCAATTCTCCTGCCTCAGCCTCCCGAGTAGCTGGGATTACAAGCATGCACCACCACGCCCAGCTAATTTTTCGTGTTTTTAGTAGAGATGGGGTCTCACCACGTTAGCCAGGCTGGTCTCTAACTCCTGACCTCAGGTGATCCACCCGCCTTGGCCTCCCAGAGTGCTGGGATTACAGGTGTGAGCCACTGCACTCGGCCTATTTATTTAGTTTTTGAGACAGGATGTCATGCTGTTGCCTAGGTGGCTATCATAGCTCACTTCAGCATCCAATGCCTGGGCTCAAGTGATCCTCCTGCCTCAGCCTCTTGAGTGGCTGGGACTACAGGCACACACCACCACACCCTGTTAATTTTTAAAATTTTTGTAGAGATAGGGTCACGCTATTTTACCTAGGCTGATCTTGAACTCCTGGCCTCAAGCAGTCTTCCTGCCTCGGCCTCCCAAAATGTGGGGATTGCAGGTGTGAGCTACTGCTCCTAGCCAAGCTAATTATTATGATTTTGCATTTATTATTTATAAGCACTTAGCTACATGTTATCCTTAAAGAATAAAAAACAAATTTCATAGATAAAATGGTGATAGATTTAAAAAATTAAACTGAAATGTAGCTACATTGCTCTGACTCAATTGTCTTCTAAATCCCTGTTCTCAGGTCTACAGCCCTCCATTGTGTCAATTGTAGCCTGACTGAGTCACGGATGTGTCTTAGTATGTACTTTGTAAAATGAAAGAGGTAGGTTGGGAGGCTGAGGAAGTCCCTTGTAGCTCTGAGATGCTGCTGGCTCTGAGTGATCTCCCCTGCTCCATCTAGGATCTATTCTGCTAGGCTCATTCTTGAAGGAACTAGGCCACTCTTGAAGGAACTTGTTGCTTTGGGAGGCATAAAAGATGACAGCTATGTGCATTAAGGAGCAGGCACTGTAGAACCCACAAAGCCATTGCTGTTTGGCCACCAGGGTTTGTCTAAACCATTCAACAGTCAAGTTACTAAACTTCTATTTTGTGTCAGAAACTGTGTTAGGCAGCAGGGGGATAAAGGTGAACAGAGAAAATGTGGTCTCTGCTTCATGGAGGAAGATAAGCATATTTAATAAGCAACTACAATGAAGTGTCATGATGGTGATGGTGATGATGATGGTGATGGTGATGATGACAGCATCTAGTACTTATTTATTGCTTACGATGTGTCAGGCACTGTATAGGCACTTAATATACATTCTCTTCTATAACCCTGTTTTATTAATCTCACTTTACGTATAAGGAAAGGGGAACTTAGGTTAAGTAACTTGACAAACTCCACTAGGAGGTAGAGGTACAATTTGAATCCAGGACTGTATGGTCCAAGGGCCGAGTTGAACTTGCAGAGTTATCACTGTATTGCCTCCTATGATAGGGAAAGTGTAGGGTGTTACAGGACCTCATAGCGGAAGTTAATTAAATTAAATTACACTGAATCTAACTAACCATACACAACTAAATCTAATTAACATAACTAAATCTAAGAGATAAGGGAGTACTTCCTGGAGGTTGTGATATCTAGGCTGACATCTAACAAAATGAGTTACTCAAGTAACTTCTTTGTAACTACAAACTTTCTATAGTCTTTAGTAACAGTAATAAGACATTTTTTCATAAAATTAAAGTGTTTATTTGAAATGATCAGAATGGAATTAGAAAATGCTGTACATTTATATAAGGCCACAGGCTTGAGAAATGTCATAGCATACTCAAGAGATTATGTATTTTTTTAGAGACAAGCTCTTGCTGTGTCGCCCAGGCTGTAGTGCAATGAGTTCAAGCAATCCTCCTGCCTCAATCTCGTGAGTAGATGGGACTACAAGTGTGTACCACCGTGCCCAGCTCAAGAGATTACTAATGCCTCAAGGGCAGGGATGAATATGGAATACTATAGCTCAAAGCATCTATAGGTCTGTCTTGATATGCACAAGAAAAGTACCCTTGTATGACATTCCTCCATAAACAAGGGCCTCATGTAGAAGGAAGATAGAAAAGAAAGGGAGAAACAAGAGAGGAAACTATTTTCTGAATCAACATGATATAATCTTTCCTATAGACTTTACAGTTGTTATCTGTTTTAAGACAGGGTCTTGCTATGTTGCCCAGCCTGGTCTTGAACTCCTGGGTTCATGTGATGCTCTCACTTCAGCCTCTAAAACAGCTGGGTCGACAGGCTCGCACTATTCCTACATTGAGGAAAATAAGTGTTTTTGATAATATGGGAGTATATCATAGTC